ATGCTTATGTTTATGTTCGCATTGTGAATGGACCTTTATACATTGCAATAGCAAAGCATGTCGGCTCCACTAATCTGAAATAAAACAGTACATGAAACACTAAAGCCTGGGGTCCAATTCTCTTCCAAAACTCCTCTCGGTTTAAGAAGTGGAGGCTAGGGTTAAAAAACGTAGTGGGACTGAGGGCAGGGAGCGGGAGGGTGAACGGGCCGTGGCGTGGCGCAGCCAGTGGAGTCGGAGCTGGACGGGCGGCCGCTGCGGCTGGACGGCGCGTGGGCGCTGGCGGCCGGCCGCCACATGGCCGACTGGTGGCAGGGCACGCCCCCCGGCCGCGCCGTGCCCATGTGCGTGCCCTCCGACGGCGCCTACCACGTCCCGCCGCACATGTTCTTCTCCTTCCCCGTCACCGTCACGCCGGAGGACCGCGAGTGGCACATCGTCAAGGTGAGGGGCAAGTGGAAAGCGAAGAGCAGCAAGACATGGGGAGATACGGAAAAGATGAGGATGCGAAGGAGGACGACAAAAATAGTTCAGGGGAAAAAGAGAAGGTAGAATAATACACTGTCACGAGGGGAAGGTGGAGCACAAAAAGGCAATATAAAACTAGTGATACATTAGTACATGGCTTCTTGGCAGTCGGGGTGACGCCGCGTTGTTGATTGAGTGGCCGACGTTTCGCCTGTCATGTCGCAGGCTTCCTCAGGGCAGCGGCGGACGCAACGGGCGAGCAGCAACTGAGGAAGCCTGCGACATGACTGGCGAAACGTCGGCCTCTGAGGCAACGACGTGATGTCACCCGGACAGCCAAGAAGTCATGTACTCGAGCCGCGGAAGCCTACGTGTATACATTAGCACATACTTTCTGGCATTATTTGATATGGCCATGTAATATAGTAATGTAATAACAGTTGTTGAGCATTCAAAAATATTTGTCCGAGCAAATTTTCGAACGTTCGCACCTACACTCCGCCAGCAATAGAATTATCCATTAGACCATATATGGATGCTGGCGTTCCAACAACGCTTCAAAAATAATCTTAAGCCTAGTTTAAAATGAGCGAACTGTGCAATTTTACTTGATTTGGAATTCATTTAAATGTCTTTTAGCGCAACTCCCCCAAATTTGGCGACATTAAACTCGTCGAATTAAATGAACATTCATTGAGTTGATGTGATAAGAAACACTGACTTCCAGTCTTAATGGGTCTGGGTCTGAAATTCGGAAAGGTCAGTACCCGATTATTTAGTGCACTTGCAAGGTTAGGACAATTAGCATTCTGGGTTCTTCTCCCTCATCGTAACACACGTGAAGAAATCGGTTCACTTCTACGAAACATGACGAACGACAACACGGACCTGTGAGCGAGTGGCGTCGAATTTATAGCCTAAAACTTTTGATGCGAAACGACGCTTTGTTAAGTGGATCCAATTTCATGACGAGGCCTACGCGATTACACATTCCTGAGTCTGGCCAACGCATATTAAGGAGATGTTGTACACGTCATAGAACCAAAATTTTTTATCTTCGTTTTTGTGTTCTACTCTACACACTTTTAAGTTTTCGAAGTGTTTTGTTAGGGAACATTCTTTCGTGGTTGTGTATCGAGTGGTGTCTGCCTCGCGATGGAAATTTGTTTCCTCGCGGCATTGTTTATGTTAATATCGTGCGTTGTAGTTTGTACTTTTAGAGTGGTTTTGTAGTGCCTCACTACAAAACTCAACTATACTACACTACAACTTCGTCACAGGGTAAAAAGCCAGAAGATGCGGTAGAAAAAACCTGAAAACGAATATATTCTAGGAACAAAGAGTAAAAATTCAGAGAGTGAGCAATATGTTGATGAGCCAGAATATGCACCATAATTGTGTTTGATGTGTATTTGTTACAAAACTTTCGCGGAAACGATTCTTTTTTTTATCTTTATGTACTTTTTTCTCAGAAACTATTGCACACAACTCCATGAAATATTCACCACTTATGTATCATGTATTTGTCATTATTTTTGTTTTTATATAAGAATTCGATTATTCAAAACTCAGACATTAAGTATGTTTACAAAATAATGTTAAAAAATAATATGTTGGCAGCAAATTATTAAACAATAAAAATTACTTTGAATCGTTACGAAAAAGCACTACGTGTGAAGGCCATTACAATAAAATAGTTTATAAAATTCCAAAGAGCTTCATAAAATAGTTTTAGAGATAAATGTGCATGCCAGACACTTCTCAGTCACACTTGACTCTTTGTATCGCATATTGAAGTTCAAAATGAAGATCCGACTTTCCACCAATGTGGTAACATTAAGTATCCATGCGCGTGGTCAACGCATTTTACGTCAAAACAATGTTCCAATCACATAAAACCCACAATTATCATTTCAACAAGGACTCACAATGACATCCTTCCAAGCACACGTTCTCCGCTTTAATCCAGCAAAACAAAACAAATCGAGTGAAAAAAATTCCGGAGTTTTGAAATTTGGCATGATTGTTGGTATCCACTGCATACCATACTAAAAATCCTGGTCTTTGGGGTGAGCCGTAATTTGGAGATACATGTAGAAAGCGTCGACAAAGCACCTTCAAAGGGACCGATCCGCCCCCAGCTTCCCAGGGATCGAAAAAGCACCTTCAGAGAGAACGATCCACCACCACACTTCAGGACGTTTAGAACGTTATGCAGTAGGTACCAACAAACAGTCATGCCAAGTTTCGAAACTCCAGGATTTTTTTCCCTTCGATGGCCATTTCTGGTCTAATTTGATTGGGCTACTTTCGTTGACCGATGTCGTGTCGTCGGCATCGATTCGTTACGACAAGGGATAACAACCGCATTCTTTAAAACCTGAGAAACGATGGGCGCGAGCAAAGTGTTTGCGCCAGGACGTGGTGCTGGACACGTTCACGGCGAGCCGCATGCGCGACACGGTGGAGGCGCAGACGCGCCAGCTGCGCCACGCGCTGATGACGCTGATGCGCGCGCGCCTGGCGTCGGCGCCGCCCTCCACGCTGCCCTCGGAGGCGAGCAGCCCGGCCAGCAGCGCGCCCAGCTTCCTGCACAGCGAGACCAGTGCCGCCGCCGCCGTGCCCGACTGGTTCGCCGCCGGCGACGTGTGTAGTGACACCGACTTCCGCGTGCAGGACTCGGCCTACAGCTTCTTCGACCACTCGTACCGCAGCTTCGCCGCCGCCGACGCGACCGGGGCTCTACCGCCGCCGCCGCCGCCGCCGCCCTTCGGAGGAGACGCGACCTACTACCCGGGCCAGGAGCACCTTCCGGGAACGGAGTACGCCGCGCAGATGCCCTATGGAGATCAGTACGATCAGGCGGCGTATGGACAAACCCCATACGGGCCCGAACAATACCCGGGACAGGCGCCGTACGGGGAGCAGTACGACCAACAGTATCCGGGAGAGGCAGCGTACGAACCGGAACAATACGCCGGTCAGGTCCCTTACGAGCCGGAGCAATACCCGGGGCAGGACCCGTACGGCCAACAGTACGGAGACCAATACGAGGGGCAGGCGCTGCCGTACGGAGAGGAACAATACCCTGCGCAAGCGGACTACGGAGATCCGTACGCGGGAGATCCTTACGCCGGACAAGCGCCACCAGTGGGGGATCCCCAATACGCCGGGCAGGCCCCGTACGCGGGAGAGCAATACGCGGACCAGGTGCAACAACCTGACGCGTACGCTGCGCAAGAGCCACAGACGCAATATTAGTAGCGGGCTGGATTCTAAAGGGATGACGGGAACAATTTACCGCCATGTGGTGGTCAACGCGACAAGTAATTAATCATCTGCGAACTGTACCATTTACATTTTAGTAAATAATAATAAAATAACTCTGAATTCCCTTTATCTCCAACACTCGTTTGGAAAGCACTGTGTGGCACCGTAGTTTGATTCCAGGCAGAGAACCCATTTCTAACATTTTCTTCAAAAGTGCAATTAGACTCGTTTGGGTCCAACATTTTCTTCCGTTTTGTACAGGTTTCCGGCTTATTCAGGTTTGCAATAAAAATGTCAATTTAGAAAATGCAATCGTTCAAATATGGAAGAGGTGGAATGAGTAGTTCTCACTCAAAACCTACTTTGAGTCTTTGAAATTAGGTCAAATTTTGAAATTAGCTCAGAGACGTCATTTAGACTTGAGGATCTTTTACATGCAAGTACATCTACTAACATGGTACAGCCGGCTTTACTTCCCCTCTGAAGGATATTTTTCGCCCTTAAAAATCCACGGCTTCGATCGGGTTTGAACACGCCAAAAAGATTCCAGTCCAATACCAGTCCAATACGCTAATCGTTAAACCATCGCCGTCGCCATTACCATTACTGCAGGCAAAGTTTAATCTCGTTAGTGATAACTATTTTTGTTTCTAAATTGAAGCAATACTTTTCAAGATTGAATGGCGCAAAAGTAAACGAATTTTTTGACAGGATGAACGCTCCCAAGGTCCATAAATGTTTAAAGAAAAAATATTTTATTTAATCTTTTGTGTAAAGTTTAATTCCATAATTGAAAAATAAATCAATCAACTTGTTTTCATAAATGTCGAAAGCTTTACGCTAACAGTATTATACTGTTACGAATGTTAGTTTCGTATCATGTAAAGCTGATATAAATTTTTTAAATTTTTCTATATGTACAGAAATAATTCCCAGCAAATTAAAAGCAAGATGGAAGTTGAATACAATGTTCCTGTCATGGTAGTAGCTAGAGATCTGTTAACTCAGGAAACATGATTTTTGGACAGTTGTCTCTAATGTATATCTCAGTTATTGAATTGTTTAATTACTGCAAATGTTAATATATAACTCGAAAACAAATTACTTGCACTTATAAATTGATAACCTTTTTTAGGAGGGTCGAGTTTGCATTACAGTGGGAGGGAATATCTAAAACTCTACTAAATTGCATCACATAATTTATGGACGACTAAGGAGGGTTTGCTGTGGCTGGAAAATAATATGTAATGCTTGTGCACAGAATTATTCAAAGGATATTTTATTTACAAACACATTTCATTTACAGAAACTAAATACGTATAGCACTATTATTTAAACAATGTCGTAATCAACCCTTTATTTTAACATTTTGCAAACACAACTTTCAACGACCAAATAAGCATTCAATTCCCAGATTGGTCAAACAAACAAAAACTGTAAACCTTCTACACCAATAAAGCAAAAAATCAAAAGAAATGTCTAGAAAAAGTAATAAATAACTTTCAATACATGCGTCACAACTTGTGCTGGCTGAGTGCTATTGGAAATTGCCATTCTAGTTAAAAATGACAATCTTACCAACTAAAGCTTGTATTGATTAGTCTTCAACATAATGTTTGGCCTTTATTTCATCAATCTGAAAGCTGATATTCCCAGAGATCAATTCTCTTGCACTTCTTAACTACACCACTGGTGGCCACATAATGTGACGAAGTGCTGCCTTATAAATGCTCTCAATAGTAAAGTGTACAATATCTAGTAGGTGTCTACAAAAACATATCTCATAATTTCATTACATTCAAGTTCATTCATTCATTCATTCATTCATTCATTACATTCAAAAACATTCAACCACGCATGGTTGTACAAGAACATTTAACAACCACATCACTGGGGTTACTGATACTTTCTCTAAAGCAATGGCAGCTTGTTACTTCACAAAATAATAATGAGGGAGTTCCGATCTCGACATAATTAACAATAAAATCCGGTGCAACATGACCCCTTCATTTTTTCGTTACCACAGACAATGAATAAGAGTTTTTCTGACAAAATTTCGTTTTCCGACACACGATTATAATACTTTTTTCCCCTACAAACAGCAAGAAAGTATAAAGTATGGTAATAAACCAATAATACACTTACATAATGGTCTTTATTGTTCATACACATAATCAAATCATCCCCAAATCACATAGTTTTTGCATTATCTGAGTAGGCTATTAGGAATAGCTAGCTTACGTATCAGCTCAAGAATCCACTCTATTTTATGTTGTCAGCTATAATGCATTCCAAATGGTTTAATGTTAAATTTATTGTATCATTAAGTATGGACTTTCAGGTGTCAGAAAATAAATATTACAATGCCTTATTTAAAAGTATAATCACAGGATTAAAGAAAATAAATGATTTGCATAACATATCACCTATTGGTGGTTTAAGCCTAATACTGTAGGTACATTTGTAATGTTTATTTTACATTCTCTCATACTTATGTAGTATAGCCAAAAAGGGCAATTTTCAACAGAAAATCTCCATTGGGACTGCACTAGAGTTCTGCAATAATTCAGTAAATTACTTCCCCTAACTCGCGTGCTCAGAAACCGTGTTTTGTGGGTCCTCGATAATGACAAATTGATTTACAGAAAACGTCTGTGCGTTCGTCGGTCTGTGAACAATGCTCGAGTCATATGCAAGATTTTCATCAAAATTGTTATTTCTCCATGGACTTAGTTGAAGTTGCAGCCCCATCAACTCAAAACAGATATTTTGAGTTTTGGGTGTACTTTACACAAAACTTATTTCTCCATGGATCTAGTTGAAGTTGCAGCCCCATCAATTCGAAACAGATATTTTGATTTGATACGAAAATCTAAAATGGTTCACAATTTATGACCAAATTTTTTTAAGAGTAAAATTATTATATAAATATTATAAAAATTCGCACGACTAATTTTCATTGAAAATAAGGAAAATCCTTTGAATTGAATCCTTTGGTATATTGAATAACGATTCCAGATGACTTTCATATAATTTTTCTATTATAGAAAAAAATATTTATATTCATCCATGTATAGCACCGTGCAAAGCAGAATTAAACCAAGTCTAAATAATAGTTTATGTACTCTACATGAAAATAAAGAAAGTACAAAATCACTTCTCTCCTCTGAAATTTATTAATTTATCCCACAATATATAGTATACAATTTTAAAACAGTTGAGGACACTTTGGATATCTGCAAATACTTCACAGCTTTTGCTAAAAGTCTGTATCTTTGTTCTTGAACCAGTGAAGTGTATTGCACTTGGTATATTTAGAAGTACCAACATTACAGTACCTGGTAACCTGGGGCAATGAAGTCTACTTCATTCCCCTCAAATATTTTAGCCAACACCTCTCTAACTAGAAGTAATATTTCTCATTTGACGCACAGCAGCAACCAAACGAGGGGCACTACCTGAGCTTTTACTGTGGTACTCACTGGGATTCACCCGCAATAGCAATGCAAGTTGCGCCAATGGCTCAGAAAGTGCAAGTCCCAAATCTTCCAACACATTACCTAAATAATCTGAAAACAATGAGAACAGAACAACATGTTTAGCTAATATGATCCTAAATTGCACTCTTTAGGATTAAAGTATTTCAATCAAAAGCGTAATGAGGATCGTACAACACTCAGTAAAGTATTCTTGTAACAAGTTGATCAGCCGTTTAAACTCCAATTTATTAATAACAATTAGTCTGAGAGCATTTTAACAATCAAATAAGCCAGTGCCAATAACAATCATTTATGGCCAGTGGTGCATGAGCAAACAAAAGAAAATATAATTTTTTCCTAAATAATTTATGAGTATGTCTTATTTCTTTTCTATTATTTGTTTATTACCATTATATTTTATTGCATTTTTACTTTCCCGTATACATACGTATATACAAAGTAATAAATGTAGCATATGGAAAGTTATGTAATGCTGGGAAGAATCAATTTCGAGATTTCAATGGAAAAACATATTTTACGGTCCCCTGATATCGAAAAAGTGGTTATTTTCAAAACATCAAGCAAGCTGTGAACACCATTAACGGCTTAACTCTTCCAAATTGAAAAATACCCTGTCCATCTGGCTTGAATTCAAGCTTTGAGATTTTGAAAACCTCCTTTAAACTTTGGAGTACTTAACATTAAGCCACCTCTGACATTTTCAAAATTTTCTCAAAAACGGCTCCAAATTTTTTCTTTAAATTTCTTGTAAGAATGGAGAAAAATACACTTATAAAAGTGGCATACGTCTGAATTTTAGGTTTAACTCTGAGGATTTGAAAATATGAAAATTTCAAAACTTTTCGGGCAGCTTCCTACACCTAAAAAGTTGTAGATAGTGATTTTTTCTTCATATAAAATTTGTTCTTCATAATGAGTTCTTTCTTTAAGTTTATGTACATTTTTTTGAAAATTTTAGTTTTCACGGTATATATTAAGCAATCTGTGCAATTTAAAAAAATTACAAAACAAAATTTTCTCAAAAAGTCTCCAAATTTGTTCTTTAAACTTTTGGTTGGGATAGTTCTAAATGTCCTCTATAAGATGCCATAAACATCATATTGCTATATTCTTTTAATAATTACAAAAATTTACAAATAATTACAAAAATTTAATGTGTTTGACTTATTTCTCAGGTGATTAATATTTATGTTAGCGGCAATTTGTTTACTTTATTATATTTATGAGTACATGGTCTTTAATGTCATATAAAGTTTCTCTAAAACTTAACCATTTTCCTTGAAAACTAGCTCAAAATTCCGCAAATTCAGAAACATTTTCTTGTAAAGTGTTTCAAATTTTTTCATCAAACCTTTTGAGACAAATAGTGCTAACTGCACTCTTTAATATTATGTAAAGTTCATTTCACAGTATCTTTTGTTTCTTCAAAAATTACTCTAATGTGATTTTTTTATTATCTCTCACTTCGTTAATATGCTAATTTCCAGCAATTTGTAAACTATTGTAATTGTGAGTTGAAGTGCTTCAAACAACTTAAAATGAAGTGTTTCCAAAATTTAATAATTTTTTGTGAAAAAGAGTTTCAAATTTCGAAATTGCAGTAACGCTTAAGCGCCATTTTTTTAAAACCGACTGAAAATTATTCAAAGATAATTGCAATTTAGGACGCGGATTTACTGTTCTTTAATACTTTTAAAGTAATATTTGTGTTTACTATTAGAAAATCGAAAAATTAAGAAAATTTCAAAATATATTTTGGAATTTGACAGATTACAGCTTGCAAGAGTAAGGGGCAACTTCATAAAGCTAGCCAAGCCCAAAGGAAAGAGCAAAATCAAACGGAAAAGTCTGCCATTCTGTAGCACCGCAAATTATCAACTGTCTGAGTTTTCTGATCAAGAGATTTATTGGCCTGACCTAAATAATAATTTTAATTTTAAACTAAATTAAATAATCTATCATTTTTGAATGAAAACACCTAGAAAGTTGTGTCACAAAACAAAGACAACTTTGTTTCATCTTTAGAGTAATATGAACAACAAATCATTTCCTTTATTTGCTTATTCCTCAATGTTGCTTGAATATGGCTAGAGCGCTTCCACGCGTAGTGTTGCAGACTTTTATTTCAATTTTAATTATAACTTACTTCATGAATTGAATTCTTATTATAGTTTTAATTATAATTGACCATCAAAAATAATTTTTTAGGAACATTTATTTAATGATGATAATTTGAGATTCACTTTTCATCTATCTAGCTACTCTGGTGATGAAGTTGCAATTTAACAATAGGAATGTCGCGATTAGGGGTGAAGTTCACAGAATAATGTCTCATTGCCGGCCTGAGATAGTCGAGGTCACTAAGACTGAAGAGCCATAGCTGCCTCATGCCAGAAGGTTTGCGGGTTTGAATGCTGCCAGGGACATGGATGTTTGAATGTGTCCATATTCATTTACTGTTACCCCCAATGTCACTTACAGTGGTCACAATTGTGATGTATTACGCATCTTGTATTTCATATGTAGCTGTGTATTTCATCATGTAATTCTGTAACAACATTGTTGCATTACACTGCAAATGATTAATTTACATGCAAGAATTTATTTATTGGATTCTTCTCATTTATCCTTCCTAGTCAATCTGTTTACATTTTTACCTTCAAATGAAGCCAATGTAAAACTGCTTTTATTTGCAAATTGTATCAAGTCATGAAACATGTCTGTACTTATTAAGGATGGAGTGGAGTGGAACAAATTCACAATTCCTATAATTGTAAATGATTTGTCACTGACTGAGCTATTGTTAGGTAAATGAGGGTGCTAATTGAATACAGCCCATTATTAATTGTTTTCAATTCAATCCTTTTAAAAATTAAATATAAAATCCAACAAACATGCTCAGAAACACTTTTGTAAAAAACTGAATTAAAAATACATGTCAACATTTTATTTTAAAATTTTGTATCATTTCCTTTTAATTTTGTAATTTACAAACAAAAAATTACTAGCACATTTGCACTATTTGAAAGATATCACACGAGAAAAAACTTAACTTACCAATGTCAGTTGCGAGTTGTTTGCAGCCCCCTGGTGATAACTCTCCAATGCCCAGAATGCATTCACAGAAAGTCTGACAAGTGCCTCGAGCCACCAGCCCTAACAGAACATCTGCATAACCCTCGCCTTCTGTTTGACCCTTTGAACTTGAAGCATCATACTCAGCATCTGCTACTGTCAATGCCATTGCCAATGCTGGATTATCTCTCAACAAAAAGGGTTCCATGTGCTGAGGCAAAGTCATCAGATACTGCCCAATCTACAAACAAAAAATGATCTCATAGTTAGTAAACAATTTAATGTGATAAAATATTACTTCAAAAAGCAAAAGCTTATACTTATCATAAATTCAAATTGCATTACAATCACACAAATACATCATAATAGTTGCTGGAAATCAGATTTCACACAGAACAGTAATGAGCCAATGTTTTAACTTTGTAAATTCACCTGTCTGCCCACCTGCCCATTCATCAGTTTGTCCATCTGTAAACAATACTAGTCCCTTCACTACTTAGAATTTGTACCATAATCAATATTATCTGATCAATCTGACCTGACTCTAGGCCCTATGATTTTCAAAGGTATTCTTTAAATTTTTGAGGATAGTAGACATGAACTCCCTGGCACGATTTCAAAATTTTCTCATTTTTCTTTAAATTTTGTAGTATTGTAAGAATAACTGAAAAACACTTATAAAGATGACATAGGTCCATTGTTCACTGTTATCTCAGAATTTACACAAACTACACAAGTTTCAAAGTTCTTCACTCCTCCATACAAATACATTACTGAAGACACGAGTTTGTTTTCTTTAAATTAAATTTGTTCTCCACAATTAGTTCTTTAAATAATATCATGTACATTAAAAATATATTAGTCTTTTCATGTAATTTTCAGTGAAATATGGGCAATTTAAAAAAAAAAATACTGTTCTCAAAAACTGCTCCATTTTTTAAAAAATCTTTTTGTGCGGATGGAGCTAAATGTATCGAATTCCATGACATAAATGCACTTTAATGTAACCTTTTGATTTTTCAAACATGACACAAATGTTATTTTTTTAACACTCAATCCATTAATAATTACATTAATTACTACATTAGAGGATTTTTTAATCATTTATTGCCTATGTGAGCACAAGTACTTCCAATTATTTCAAATGAAGTTTCTTGAAAACTCAAACATATTCTGTGAAAATGAGCTCAAAATAGCGCATTTTCTGAAAAACTAAAAATGAGATTTTTTCAAAAATTACTTCAACATTTTTAATGAAAATTTGCAAGAAAATACAGTTTTCACACTTCTATTGTATCCTTGGAGTCGCATTTCCATTGTATGTACTATTCGGGCACCAAAAATTATGGAAATATGATAAAACGAATGTGTATTTTTATGAAACATTATTTTCTCAACATTAATTTTACACGAAAGTTAACTTAACCATTGAGTTAACTCATATGGACTGTAAATGCTCTACATTTTGTGTCGTTAGTTAATATTGAGAAAATTGTTCAGTACCAATTTGAGTGAGATCCATTACCAAGTGATAGTTAATACTAAAGTAATTTCTTTTTACTTATATTTATTTAAGGTTGCATTAACTTCGAGTTCTTTAGCAGCCATTATTAATTTTAAAATTAGGGTATCTGTGAGAGTAGTCAGTTGACAAGAGGAATGTGTGGTAGCACTTTGTGTGTGCCACTCTTTATACACACTCCTGCATTACTACCCAGAGGCCAGAATTGGGAAGGAACTATGTCGCTAAAGTCCCTTTGTTGCTATGAAAACAAAACGTGTCGTCATTCAGATACATCAATTCAATGCCTCTAAGTACTCTAAAGGTTACTTCTGCCTAAAACGGGTACAAGTTGTATTATTAGTTTTAATTAATGTTACATGTTAATTAGTTGAATTAATTAATGTTACACAACCATAACAAGTTTACAAATAGTGGGTTCAAGTGAGTCATTAGACACGGGCTAATGACAGGATACCCCAAATATGTAGACATTAATGGTGTGGTTACAAAACTTGTGTAAAGCATGAATTATTTTAAGTTGTGTTTGTGGGGCCATCCCTAGCTCCTTGTGTATTTCATCTGCCCTCGAATTCTTCCATCATTTCTTAGCCTCATACACAAGTGTGTGTATGCAATTTATAAACATAATGCAGGAACTGAATCCCTACACCCAGAACAATTGTAAAGGTTCTGAGATGGAGCCCAGAAATGTTACTGACAAATACGTAAAGTACAGTGCTGAGATAGGCTTATGAGACGTTTGGGGAGAGCAAAGGTACTCTTCACTGGGAACGTCCCCAGATTTGTGGTAGGTACCGAGAGAGGCACTTTCTGATAGGTCTTTTTGATGACAAATGTTAGCACAGGGGAAAAAGGTGCAGCAAATCCAAAAAACTAGCCCAAAGTCAAAAGAATATGATACTATCTGGAACGAGAAAGTCTGTGCAATTCTGTAACACCACTAGTACTATTCTGTTAATATAATTTTAATTTTATAAAAAAGTAATATTGAATGAGTTTAATGATATATAATGACAAATGTATTAAACTAAATTTCCTCAAAATACAGCCAAAAACGCAAATAAGTTTTCTTATCACTGATTTTAGTAGAACAATTATAGGAATCCACAATCGAAGCAGTATTTGTAAGCACAATAGGATTTTATGTACACTTTCATACATGCCTGTGTTATGTACTCCTGAGGGGCAAAGCTGAAGTCAGGCAGTTCTGAAGTGACAGATGTATTTGTATTGCACCATGTTGGAGCAGTTGAAACTTGCTGCAATTGTAATGTAACTGGTGCCAAAATGACCTGGAAGGTGACATGATGCACATCGCTACAAAGCTTGTTCACTTGTTGCACTACAGCTTCCAGTAAATGAGTCTCCTCTGGATATGGAATAAACAAATATACCATGCCAATGTATTTATCAAAGTACAGCAATAATGAGAATAAAAATATTCCATCACAGAAAAGTATACTGTAATGATGGAAACCAGCTATTCTGGTTGTTCGTGCAATTGCTGTTACACTTTAAATATGAGCATTACAATTCTAAACTTTCCTGAAAAAATGGGATACTTATAAATAATAAGTATCCCATTTTTTGTGGTAGATAAAAAAAACAGTTTTGAACATTCATTTATTCAAAATTTACATGCAAATTAATCAGAAGGTGACTTATAGGATATCTGAGGACTAAAGATGTCTGTACACTCAAAAACAAAATATTTGCGAAGTTATATTACCTTCTTTTGCATTGCTAATTAGAGCATCCAATTCTTTCCTTCCTGCGTCAGTGAGTAATAGCTGTTTAAATTGTGAAAACGGATTTTCCTCTTGGCCATTTACACTAGTAATAGCATCAACTATGTAGTGTTTGAGGTCACTATTCAATTGTTTCAACTGAAGCAAAAGTTCACCTATAGATAAAAAAGAGTTAAAGTACAAAAGTAAAACTAACATGTACATAAAACTCTTTTCAGAAAATAAAAAAAATCAAGTATATTTACCTATGTTTTGAAGAAGGGTGAGACACATTTGAAACAAATTCCAATCCTCTTGCTCCCTCTTCTGTTGATTTAAGCGCCGTTGGGCTGATTTGAATTGGTCCAAATAGCTAGTGAAGAAAACCTACACCAAATAAAGATATCAATAGGTAATTCATATAATATTTTGATATTCGTACCATATTTCCACGATTGTGATATATTTATTTAATTTTTTACACTTTTACTTTCCCGCTATTGCTTACGCAGTATGGAGAAAGTATTGTAAACCTGCGAGAAAAACTGCGAATTTTCGACAGCAAACTGATTGCCAGGCCCTTGTAACGAAAAAGTGGATAAATCTTGACACGCTGAGTATTAAGAATCCTTGTTTTGTAGACCCTTGATACCGAAATATCGAATGACAGTAAAACGGTTGTCCATCAACAACGCTAGCAGCTAAACTGTAAGTAGAATTTTCAGCAAAATTGATATTCCCTATAAGGCTGATATCGCAGTCCCTTGAATTTGAAGCCGATATTTTAATTTTGGGGGGTAATTTGGAAGCTCCTGGAACATTACCAATGTTTGTTTTTTTAAAAAAGGCTCAACATTTTTTTGATTAGTTTTATCTCGACGCTCGGGTTACAGAGCGAAGTCGCTCGCTTTTCACCAAGGAGGTCCGGGTTCGATTCAACAAAATGAGTTTGCCTGCTTCACAGGAACTAGTTCAATCCCTGTGAAGCATCCTAAAACCTACTCTTGTCCTATGTCGTTCCCAATTCTGGCCGCCGGGTAGAGAGGCTGGAGCGCGTCGTGGAAGTGCGCGTGCTGGAGCGCGCGTCTGTGGAGATGATGCCTGACAATTGACTGTGACGGGATTTGTCAGTAATTACAAACAAATAAAATGAATATCATTAGGAGGATTTAGGACTTAGGAGGACTTAGGAGGATTACTCCTAAGTGCAAGCGCTCAAGACTCTAGTAAGACGCTTTGCGTCAATGTAGACGCAACAAATTCAAAAATTCGGAGATGGTTCGGAGAATGGCGCACGACTTTTTTTCGTTGAAATTCCCCCAGTATTGAATATAGAGATTTTTTTCAAATGGAGCTTGTCCTCCTTAATTAGTTCGCGTAATTTTGAATGAAATAGTATGGGGAAAAAACACAAAAAACACGAATTTCCCAAAAACCTCTCCAAATTTTCTTTCTTTTGTTTGTGTGCATGTGTGAGTGCTTACAAACTTTTGGTAGGAATAGTGCTAAATGCACTGCATAAGACGACATAAACGCTATTTTGATGAATTCCCAAAAGTTTTCTGTGAAAATAAACTCAAATTCCGCCTTTTCAGAAACGCAGCATTTTCTAGAAAATGACACTAATTTTTTTCTTTCCTTGTTTAATGGAATGGACTAAGTATCACTTAACGTCAATGCCACTTTGATATTCACTAGCAGCTCCAAATTTCACAAAAACAAATTTCCGTATAAGACAATGTTTTACCAGTTTATAGAGTTCTTAAAACTGTGTTACAGTTCTATCATTAGGAAACAGAAAAATGGAGAAAATGTGAAAAAATGTACTTTGTGGCGATAGACGGCAGCTGGAGAGAGGGTGGGGCAAAACCGAAAAGATAGGCTAGACCAAAAAAAATAGAAAACTAACTGGCACGAGTAAGTTTGTAACATTCTGTTGCATAGAAGTTACTGATGAAAGATATTTCCAAAACTTTAAACATTTTTTCGGGGTCTTTATGCAACTACAACAATGAGGATAGAATTGTTTCCTTCATGAAATCTGTTCTTTAAAAACACATCTTCGAATGTGGTCAAGAACAATTTTTCGAAAGTATGAGAAGTTTTTTTTGCATGAAACATGAGCAATTTTGAAACTATTTTCTGTTAAAACGGCTCCATATTTATTCCTTTAATATTTTCCTCATTTGTAGTAAGAAAGGCAAATAAATTGGAGCAGGTCCTAGTTTCGGAACTTGTAAACAACAAACTAGTGGTGTTAAAACAGCATGTACATTCCCGCCTGAACTTTCACGCAAAATTACGCGAAAAGTACTGAAATTTTCGATTAATTGTACGTGACCTTATTTCCAAATATTTCTTTAAGTCACAGATTTTTTTAAGGGATAAATCTTTAAATCTTTAATATTTTAGTAGCACGAAGACTCCGAAAAAAACAAAAATTAACTTTTGCATTTTATCTCATTATCTTATTTGCATTATATTTCCTTATACATAAAATTTGGAAAATGTCTCAGGGGATTCATGTAAATTACAACCCAAAATTAAAATAACGGTTTCAAATTCAATGGGCCGCAACATCAGCGAGATTAATTGGAGGATATCAATTTTGGAGAAAATCGTCTGAACGGATTAGCCGCCAGCGTTGTTCACAAACGGACAGACATACGGACGGACGGACGGACGCGCAGACGGACGGGCTGACGGAAGGGGCTGACAGACGGACGGACGGGCAGTCGGACGGACGGACGGACGGACGGACGGACGGACGGACGGACGGACGGACGGACTGACGGACGGACGGACTGACGGACGGACGGACTGACGGACGGACGGACTGACGGACGGGCAGTCGGACGGACGGACTGTCGTTTTGCCATCACTCGATTTTTCGTTATCAAGAACCCACAAAACATGGATTCCGGCTAAATCTGGCAATGTGACGGAGGATTTCCCCCTCCCTAAATTTAGCAACTGGATTTATCCCCTTTTTCGTTACCAGGTCCCTGCAATAAGAGTTTTTCTGCCGAAAATTAGCCGTGTTTTCGCGCAGCATTACATAACGTTGTCTGTACTCAGTAGCGAGAAAGTAAAAATTAACCTTGCAAAAAAGGCTTTGTGTGTGTGTGTGTGTGTGTGTGTGTGTGTGTGTATTATTTCGTGTAACCCTTTCTGTAAAGTTATTTCCTTTTCAAACATTTGTTCATGAAATAGACCGATGATAATTGATCTTGAAGCTAAATTAAGTTTGTTGTACATTGTTTCCTTATGGTTTCTATTCTCCGCAAAGAATATAATGTATTAATCTACAGATTGAGAAAGGCAAGGAAAGAGGAAACCATTCATGATGTGAGTGTGTGTGTGTGTGTGTGTGTGTGTGTGTTGGTGTAGAACGCACCCAGATTGTCCCAGTAACAAAGGAGTACGAAGAATAGTCAGAACTCGAATATTTTTGTTGAAACAAGTGAGATCCACAGGATTCTTCGCCAGGTACCAACGTTTTGCTTCCGGGAAAGACACCCCGTTGCTCGGATCGTCTAGATCTTCCTCTCCTTCAGAAAAGTAGTGCACTCAGGTTATCCCCTTCACAATTTACAGAGCAGTGATACATCACAATTTTTTAGATCGTGCACTCACTTACTGCATTTTATTGTACATATTCCGGTCTTTCTGCCATACACCGTTGTTGCGTATGGCCGAACCTTTGGCATTTAACGCAACCCAACGAGTTAGGCTCATACTGCTGCACGCGAACATTGCAAAAACAACTGATCTTCTATGGAAGGGATGGAAGATTCAGCGTAAATATCAGAATAGGAGTGGGGATATCTACCATGCTTTCCTTTCGATCCTGAACACCTCCGTTATAGCCTGACTCTTAAAGACCGATAGGAGTTCCTCTTCAATTTCAGATGCAAAATCGTCGTGAATGACCTCTCCCTTACAAATGATAAAGGTGAGCGATCACTTGCACATGGAGGCCGGAAATCTGCTCAATATTTAAGATCGTTTCTAAATTCTTTACTCGTCGGGAGAAAGATGCTTTATTCCCCATCGCGAGATGCTTTCCGTACGAATCCTCAATTACTAGCGCAAGACGGACTGCGCTCACACTCTTAAAAGTCTTCCCGTCCCCGGCGCATGCCAACAGAAGAAATCGTGGTTTCTTCGGTCTACTATCTTCCCAGAGAAAGGAAGTATTTAAATCAATCGTTCTTTCAATACATCGCCTCTTCCTTCCAGAGGAGTGAAAGAGGTTGGTTTCATGTTCCTAGAGATGGAAACTAATTTGTCTCCTGCTCCCCACCCACCATGGGGACCACAAAGGAGACATCCCACTGGGGTACCGGGGTTGACACGGAGACGTAGTGGGGGGATGATACAGCGCTGTCCCGCCATGCCCCTGCCCCCCGCGCACCCTGGGCTTCAGTCAGAAACAGTCCGAACCGATTGATTGGGAGTTGGTTAGCTCCCGACTGCCCGTCTAGAAAAGACTGAGACCAAAGAACCTACAAGGTGCAGAGACCTCCCCTCAGTCACCAGGGTTCACCGGTGTTTCCACAGCGAACATGACTAGAACGTGTCTACCCACAAGGAGCTAGCGCCAAGGCTACTACCAGGAAAGCATACATAGATGTCTATGATAATGTCACTGTCAATGATCCCTCAATGTCACCCATTCCCTAGGACACATGTCATATGTCATATGCATGGCAAACACATGGGTAGTCGTTCATCATACAGAGAAGGCAAGTGAGAAAGACAAAAGGGTGTGATAAAATAATGTAGGCATATGAAATGAAATCAAAAGGCTGAAAGATGGAGAACGGAACATATGAAAGCCTTCTCTGCGTCAGGACGTGGACCGACCCACCTCGGCAGACACGTAGATTTACGGGAGGGGGGCATATCTAGTTTGCAAACTGCGGATGTAGGCACGCCTCTTAAAGAGTTTCATCAAAAATCAGTCGAGAAACCTCGCAGATTCAGCGAATGGGAGCTGATGGCCAGTAAGATAGAGTTGTGGATTGCTAAATAGAGGCCGTTTCTCGCTAAAAGGCATGCCAACAGTTTTTTTAGTGCAAAAGGTGAAGCTAGTGGAGGTTCTCCATTCGTGTACTTCGTTAAAGACCACTTGGAGTTGCCTTTGGATGATGGATTTGGTTTAGAGGTCGTGTCAACTGGCATGGCCTTTGGCGCCCATGTCAATATAATTTTTAAACAATAGATTCAATAAATTGCATTAAGAGATGAATAATAAATTAATAAAATAAATTTTAAAACTTAAAACCGGTTATTTAGAGAACAAGTAACAAATAAGTGACATGGTAATATTAAAGGTAGTACTTGCCTCGCCATGTTACATATTCCTCTTTTTCAGTCCAGGTTTATTCTATTAGCACATGAAACATGTGCTATTTAGAACGTAAATCAGATAGTGAACAACAAAACAAAGTTGGTACAAATTCTGAACGACGAGTCGCTATTTGGATAGTAGGTATATTACATGTATACGCGCGGGCATCTCTGTCATAACCTTTTCTTTCAGAACTCTATCGCATACTGATTTGTAGTTTCCGAACAGCATAATCTCAGACTTTTTCACTCTTTACCTACGGTGCCGTGGGTCACCTGGCATGCCTAGTTGGCTGAACATGAGCTGTCAATAGAGCATCTGTGTTGTATAGCTCTGCAAACCCTGGCGATTACAATAGAAGGTTCACCTGCAGCAAAATTCCCTCTGAATGTATTTTTAATTACTATGGTTTGAGGCATAATAACCTTCTAAATTGAGATATGAAAAATAAAAATAAACAGATCCCTTACTTCTAACAAATTCCCTGACTTTTCCATACCAGCGAAATTCCATGACTTTCCCCCATTTTCCAGGAAGTGGCCACCTGTAAATACAACTGGTTTTATGTTGACCCATTTTCACTATTGCCAGATGGTTTAGAGAGCCTCTTTTCAACACATCATTTCTCCAAATTGTCAGCTTAAAGGGAAAAGTTAGGAATTGATCATATTTTCAGAAATAAAATGTGTTTTTACTTAGGACTACAGGGCCCCTCTTAAAATTTCTACGGGGGGGGGGGCATGGAAACAAATGTGTAGCCGCCATTACAAACTAGAGACACTTTTTGTATTTGTAAGCCTGTAATTGGGTGTATAACTGCTGGATTTATCTTTTATAATTTAATTAATTAATAAATAAATAAACAAAAGGACAAATGAAAAGGTCGAAAAGTTAGTGATGCAGAAAGGAACGTTCTTAGGTGGCTTCAGATGAACGCCTAAGAACGCAAATCTTTGAGAGGGGCCTAGGAAGACAGATCAAAGCAGTACGGGAGGAGAAACAAAAAGAAACTGACACAAGTGAAGATGAAGTAGGTAGTCACAAAAATCATGACATTAAGGAGCAAGAAAATAGTGACAGCACAGGTAATAAATTTTATCATTCTCAACAAGTCAATTTTCTTGTCAATTCAACAATTTTCAATTTTATTTGACTAAATAGAAAAAATTAGTAGCAATTTAAGAAAAGAAAAATCAGGTGGCCTCTTCAATATTAGAGGATTATCTTGTATTCAGAGTCAACTTACATACAGAGAAATAGCAAAATAAATGTTCTAGTTAACGCAAGCCGCTAGCAACACACACTTTTACATAAATAATTATCTTGGTTTCTCCAACCTTTTCATTAACGTATCCATTCAACAATGAAACCTCTTCCACTATATATTAAACTCACCTTTAAAGATTTGAGAAGTCCAGGATAACCACACCCTTCTGTAAATTGTTGACACCTTTGAGCTGCATCCATTGCTCCTGACACAGCTTTAGGTACAGACAAACCCAGAGTCTGAATGGTGTCCATTAGGTCATCCTTAGTACACACTATTCCTTCTGACACCCGAGTCAGCTGCTGTTGTTCATATGTGGCATATTTTGAGATGTGATTAATGTATGGAGAGTACACTGACTGGGCTAGTAACAGAAGTTCTCCTTTCTCAACACCCTTTCCTGAAAAAAATGTATTTTGCTACTTAACAAAAGAGAAAATGCATGGATAAGAATTTCAGATTCAACAAAATCATATTTGATATTTCAATAATAAAATACAAAATTTAAACATTTGATACTGAAGTATAACAAATGAGCAATTAATATATCAAAAATTAAACTACCATAATTTTCATCATCATCATCATCATCATCATCATGAACAGTAGGATAGTAGGTCTGATGCCTGTTCCTGTTGACTGTAGATCTGGTGATTATTCCTAAGCAATCCATCTTTTGTTGGGTCTTACAATATTTCTTTTCCCTATGGGTTTGTACTTTAGCACTTATTGGGGAAATCTTTTCGCTTGCATTCATCGCACATGTGAAAGCCATCTCCTCTGATTATCTTTAATGTCATCAACAATATTTTTTGCTTTGAGTTTTTTTCTGATTTCAGTGTTTCTTTGTTCATCTAGACATATAATTCCAACCAGGTACTGGAAAGTCTCCTTTTTAAAATAATTTCCTTTTAATTATAATTATTAATCGATTGGGAAAACACAAAAAAATACTCATTGTATGTGATAAACATCAATACCTTCATTTTCCTCTTAAAATTGCCAATACCCAATTACTTTATTGTTTTAGTCAGAGGTATTTTAGTCGAGAGGCGTGGATATCTCTTTACCCAAGGGCAGTAGCGGCTGGTGCCCCAGCAGACTGGAGGTTGCACCTCCATCGAATGACAAAAATGCAATTTTGAAAATTCAGAACGGTGATAGAGAATAAAATGTAAGCAATTCATGTAAATTAATTAAAACAAAGTTACATGTATATGTTGAAATATTGCTTATATAATTTTATGCATGGTGTTCGTGTTAGGTATGTACACCTTCTCCCCACGTCGTTCTGACTTTGATTTCCACTGGGCACGCGAGTTTTGGTATTAGTTCTGCACTGAGAAAATTGACAGTAATAGAATTCACACAAAACAAAAAAGAACTCTGTTTCAAAAATATGATCGCACTTCGCTTTGCAACAAGCCATGGTAAAAATACATAGGTGGATTCCACTGATCTCTGTACATATAGAGATCAGTGGTGGCTCTATATAGAGAGAGATCCACTGATCTCTGTATATATAGAGATCAGTGGTGGGTTCCTATTTTTGCTTGTTCTGCGCAACTCCAGTTTGCGTCTCCAACCCCGTGACCAAAGCACGGGCACTTCGTTTGAAAATCTGGCCACTATGTTGCATTGAGAGAGAGAAGTATTAAGAAGCTTTTTGGAAGTGGTACAAAGTGACAATTTCCAATGGTAACCAACCAAAAATAACACTAAAGGTGTACAAAATGCAATATTTTAAAAAATGCATCATAATTCTACTTCAATGTCTTGACACAAGGTGATAATCTTGGTATCTGTCTACATTTCAAACTCCCGCAAACATTGTGATGAAAACTGGTGCCTGAAGCTCATTTCGCTGGTCAGGTAGGCGCAAGAGCCCCCCCTGTAACAAGCACTATTGCTTGGATACATTTTTCACAAAATTGTTTTATTTCGAAAATTTCACAATCCTAGTGTATCTTGCAATAAAGATATTTCACACACACATCACTCGTAGACTCAGCTGTAACTGCAGCCAAAAATACCTTGAGAGACAGAAACGGACTTCCTTTCAGAACAGCCAACTGTACACAACGGACTCATAATCAAAATGTACATTTTGAATAAAAAATCTATCATAAAAAAAAAATGCATTCTCCAAATATCAAAATATTGCATTCAATACCATCAATAATTAACTTAACTGGTATAATCCAGTAACATACGAAATTCATAAAATTAATTTACAGCTAGTGTCAGATGAAAGCAAAATTGGGATTCTCCTCGGGACACCGCGACCAACCCCTCACCCCCACCCATTGGTTGCAGCACCGATGGCCCTATGTTGAAGCATACGGCCCAAGAGTAAATGCAGTAAAAACAGTAATAGAGATAAGAGCCACAAGCGTGGAGCAATACCCCGGAGGGTACCAGGCGCTGGAGAGAGCGCCAGTCATGCGCTCTATGGTTTCAAATTGATTTTACATACATTGATAATGCCGCAATATCTTGAATATTGAATGTCATTAAAACGACAATGTATATTCCTAACATATTGTAAAATATTTTTCGATTATCTGGGGATTGTGCAACCGTCCAATCTAAGCATGAGCCATCACTGTTCAAGGGATGTTCCTGTCAAGTGGTCCAAGTTGGTTAACAAAGTCACCAATTTAACCTCAAGTTTATATGTATGAACTTGCAAAAAATGGACTCACCTTGCACAGCCGACTCCACAGCAACTTGCAGATTTCCAGCAAAATGTTTGGTGAGTTGTTTGAGTTCCATAAGAAATCTAAGCTGATCAGACTGCTGTTTAAGGGCTGCATCAATGCAAACATTGGGGCTTGGCTCTAATGATGAAAGAACATCAGCATACAAGGCCACTAGTGTGTGCATTGAAGAAGGATTGGAGAAAACCTGTCCACACCATTTCACCTGTAAAATATGGAAAAGGGCCTTCAATTAACATTATTAGTAATTCCAACAAACTTTTTAGACTAAAGATTAATACTAAAACAACAATTCAAAGCATAGGAAAACTGGGTATCCTCCTTCTAAGGTTGTCTCAACCGATACATACAAATATTTCCATATACAGTTTGTTCTTTTCATATCAGTTAATGACAAAATAAAAGAACCTGTATGAGGTTGCTTCTACATCAACAGAAGAAAAGAGATGACCATAACTTGTTGGAGCAAGCTTTCCAAGTTACTTAATTATAATTTGTATATTTCATATGCACATTCTTGTCATGTAATATCAATTTCTTTCGGTTTGGCAGAAGGTTTGTGTGATTTTCGTGTTGCGGTTTGCACGCATTTCGCGTTTTACTGCTATTTGTAAGGGGCTGTTGTGGGTTCGCGTCGGACCTTAGTCAATAACCAAATCGGCTTTTGTGTTGCACTACGCCCTCAGAATGTCTGAGGGAGTGCTAGTCTTCTTTGCAACAGCAACCTAGTTTTGTACAAATTTATAACACTAATAGAATTTCCACTCGCCAGGGCAACGGCAGACCTTCCCCCTTTCAGTTCCAGACCAATACCTCGCTGCCACAAGCTCCACCACCAATGCCATTGCTTTCTTTGTTTTTCAGTTTACAGTATACGTCAATTCTCAGTATTCTCACATTGCATTTAATATCATAATGTGTTAAGTCTTAGTAATGACATGCCAAATTTATTCTGATTCCAATTATGCTCTCAATGTGTTTTAACATGCATAAAGTAATGGCATGTCCAATTCATTCTCAATTTATTCACCTTCAGTGTATTTCAAAGTGCATAAGTGTCAATCCTAATCATGCCAATACAACAGCTGTATTGTCAATCAGCTGATTCAATCATTCAACCATCTCCTTCAATTTCCCAGGGTAAATTATATTGCAATTAAAGTGTTTAGCTAATTATTGAATTTGTATAACTATTATTCAAGATCAATTATACTAAGTTAATTGACACCATATCTTGTGATAGCTCCCTTCCACTAGAGCGTATTGTACAATCTTATTTTAGAATCATGAGCGCCCGTCTTGCTAATAAGATTGTGGTCTTTCGAAATTAATAAGCTATCGAGGTAAGTGGTGAAGTCAGCCCACCCCACAGTCCACTGCTCCGAAGCTGAATACTCCTCCATAACTAATGTAAAGAAAATAAATAGGTCTAACTGGTGAGAGAACAATCTAAGTACACTACACTCCTGAAATTAATGCTTCAATCACGAAGACGGAAATACGAACTCAAATTTTGTCTTTAGATGATTGTCACATAAAATCATGCCGAACATCAGACATCTAAATGTTCACGCCAATTTTTTTCTTGATACTAATGGTGTTAATACATCATATACTTCCTCGTCCGTATTTTCACGCAAAATTACGCGAAAATAACTAATTTTTTGAAAAATTGTACATCAATGATGTAGGAAGACTCCCCAAAAAGTTTGAACTTTTCAAATTAGAAAAATCAGAATTTTCAACGAATTTGAGACCTGCACCTCTTAAACGTATTTCACCATATTCAACAAAATTTAATTAAAAACGATTGTCGAGGCTGCGAAATATTCGTTAGATACGTTGGGAGAGCATTAGCAGAAACTGCAACGAACATCGCCTTTTGTATCGAAAATTTTCATCAGACGAGAGTGTTCTGGAAAAGGAACGATACATAATTGACAAAGATCCTTACTTTGCAGAAAGAATAAATGAGTATTGAAGAGATTGTCATGGTTACATCTGTCCAGACGAAATTAAACGTTTCGTTGCGAATTTCGTCGTTTTGACTGCAGAAAATTTTTGGAAATTTTGAAAATGTCTAAGGAACTTCATGTACAGCACTCCCCAAAATTAAAATATGTTTCAAATTAAGGGGCTGCGATATCAGCCAGATCGATTACGGAATAGCATTTTGGAGAAAATCGGCCGAACGGTAGAGACGCTAGCGTTGTTCACAAACGGACAGTCGTTTTGCCGTCATTCGCTTTTTCAGTATCAAGGAACCACAAAACATGGATTCTGGGTACACCATCTGTTAGAGGATATTTTCCCTAAATTCAGCAACTGGATTTTCCTACTTTTTCATTGCCAGAGCCCTGTAATAGGCGAAAGTTTGCTGTTTTATTGCGCAGCATTACATAACATTCTCTCTACTCCATTGTGAGAAAGTAAAAATGAATCATGAAACCAAATAAAAAATATGTTTGCCAATTGCAAGATATATATAATATAAACAAATGCATTGTGAATATTTTAACTGACCTGTTCATGCCAGTGGGAGAGGAGTTTGTCATAGAACTTATGAAGCCATTCCTGCACTCCTTCATCCTGTTCTTCCACTAAATGAGACCACTGCTGGAGTAAGGCTCCTTTCTGGCACTTATGATAGTATTTCAACAGCTGAGCCAATCGATCAATGGATGTAAACACACGTATAAACACTCTGGACTGATCTGAAGCAGAAGAAGTCACGCATCCAATTTTCAACATCAGAAATAGTGAGTAATACTTGCACGTCATATCCCTAATTTAAAATGCTCTTCAAGACTATATTGTAATCATAGGTTTTCTCAAAGTTATTTTAGTTGCAAATCCGCTTGAAGGAACTATTAATACCTTCGACCTCACAGTTATCAACTTTTCCTACTCAATTATTACTTTAATATCAGCCGAATATGGGGGTTAAATACACAGGTCGTAGCTCTCTATGGAGGTTAAATACACAATACATAGCTCTAGGATCCGATAACTATCGGGAAATACTCCGAAAAATTTGTCTAAGAACTCACCAAACTCGTAGGTCGTTCAACTGACTGGGAAGTGCAAGATATTGCTTTATTGGAAACAGACCACATTTTGAACTGCCTTTACAAAGTATTGTAGACAGTCCTTAAAGAAGCTGGTTGCAATCCGGGGTATCTTTATAATCGACTCATGACATCTACAGTCGTGAAGTAGAGGAATAATAATAATAATAATAATAATAATAATAATAATAATAATAATAATAATAATAATAATAAAGTCTGCTCCGTAGCGCAGACGTTGCGGCAGCCGTCGTCTGCCCCGAGGCGACTTGAACATCCTGCTTTGGCATGGTCGTATTTGTGATTGCGCCTTCACGCCGCATTATCATTTTATCATGCCATCCATCTTCTATACTAATAAATGTGAATTCAACGACATGTAATCGACGTCGATTCCACAAAAAGGAGTGCATGAGTAGATACGAAATACGAAGGTTGCCTTTTATATTTTGAGATTCGGCCAACCCTGGTGTTGCAATCTGGCAACTGACAGCTTGATCGTAATGTTGGATGTTTTGAGGTTTTACGTACTCAAAACGTTTTGACACACGAGCGCTATTTATGTTGTTTACAGTAACTTAAAAGATTCATCTTGGCCCAAAAATGGAATTAAATCGTGAACATTTTCGTGCGATTATTTTTTTACAATTTTCGACATGGATTGACTCAGCAACACTGCATGGATGAACTGAATTCAATTTTTGGCGATGAAGCTCCATCAAGGACCAGTGTTTATCGATGGTATGGTGAATTCAATCGTGGTTGTAGTCACTCCAAGACGAATTTCGCGGACGTCCAAAATCAGTTATTGTTCCGAAAACCATTGATGCTGTGCGTGAACTGATATTGCAAGATCGTCATGTGACCTATCGTGAGATTGAGACAACCTTAGGCATTAGTCGGATCAGCATACATTCAATATTGCATCAATATTTGACTGTCAAAAAAATTTTCGCGTTGGATCCCACACAATTTGTCAATCGCAACAAAAACTCGTGTCGTTTGGTCTAAAGAAATGCTCAAAAAATACGATCGCAGTGCTTCACGTCTATGACATCGTGACAGGTGATGAATCGTGGATTTACGCGTATGAGCCCGAGAGTAAAGAGCAGTCGACTGTATGGGTGTTTCAAGATGAGCAAAATCCCAACAAAAGTTGTTTGCGCACGAAGCACTTCTAAACAGACGGTCGCCTGTTTTTTCGGAAAATCTGGACATGTCGCAACCGTACCACTAGAACAACGCAGAACAGTCAATTCTGAGTGGTACACAACGATTTGTTTGCCAGCTGTCTTCCAAGAAATCAGGAAAACCAACCGCCGAAGACGGATCACCCTTCACCACGACAATGCGAGCTCTCACACATCGGCTCAAACAACTGCATTTTTGATCACCCAAAACATCGATTTGATGAGTCATCCGCCGTATAGTCCTGACTGGGCACCGAATGACTTCTTTTTATTCCCGTTCGTAAAAAGCAAACTGAGAGGTCAACGTTTTTCGACACCTGAAGAAGCGGTTGCTGCATCCAGAATGCATGTTTTGGAGATACCTCAATCAGAGTAACAAAAGTGCTTCGACAATTGGTTCAAACGCATGCAAAAGTGCACAGATCTTCATGGGCAATATTTTGAAAAACAATTAAGTGATTTTCGATGATTAATATTTATTTTGTTCTCTAATTCTGAAATATAAAAGGCAACCCTCGTATTTACAGGATCTTCTTTAGAATTTGACGCAGTGTCCCTGCAAAATTTGATAAAGAGTAATACAATAGAAATAAATAGTTTAAATATGTTGGTAGATGCACAACGATCAATATTTTTCGCCTGTTACTAGACAGCTGACCGTCAGTGGCCAGCAGCGTTGCGGTAGAACAGTGTGTCCGATCTCCATGAAAGACGGTACATCTACGTGTTTTTTCACGCAGATGGTTTTGTTGTTGTTAATTATGTTGTAACTTTACTAAATGGCACTGCAGCACAAAATTGCGTTTAATTTTAAATCAATTTCCATTCAAAGGGAACTCTACCTGGACTTCGTTGTTGCTGGACGATGTCTTGTGACGCAGGGCGAGGCCGAGGGCACGAGAGGAGGGAGAGAGGGCGAGAGGGAGAGAGGGCGAGAGGGAGAGAGGGGAGAGAGAGAGTCTGACAGAGGCAGAGAGAGAGAGAGAGTCTGACAGAGGGAGAGAGAGAGTCTGACAGAGGGAGAGAGAGAGTCTGACAGAGGGAGAGAGAGAGAGAGAGTCTGACAGAGGCAGAGAAAGGCAGTCAGATAGAGAGAGACAGACGCAGAGAAAGAAACAGAGAGACAAACACACGCAGAGAGACGGAGAAATGCGGAGAGACAGAGAGAGAGGAGGAGAGAGAACAGAGAAAGAAATGGAAAGAGAAAGAGGGAGGGGGAGGGAAATGGAGAGCAAGATAATGTCTGCCGAGTTCCGCTAGTAATTGATCATTCAAGGCATAACAACCTTGTCTTATCGAGCTGTAAACAGCTGTAAAAAGCTGATCCCCATAATACCCCATAAAGCCATCCCCATTAATCGCTTCGGGACCTCGGAAGGTAACGAGTGGCGTGGTTATATAACAAAGAACAACAACAACAATAATAATAATAATAATAATAATAATAATAATAATTATAAATAATAATAATATAATTCAACGGGATCCCAAACGAGATGCTCAAAATCGTTACAGAGCACTACCCGGAATGCTTGTTATCTGTTCATCTGCTACCTGTGACCGCGCCGAGACCTTTCCCCGTGCCGTGAAAGATATGGAAACTCATTCTCCTCCGGAAGGATAAAAAGCCGATAAATTAGGCTTTGTCTTTTTGAGGACATTGCCTCTTTGATACTTTGGGCATGCGAGCTGAGGGTCTATTTCTAGCAGAAATCGAGATACACCTGACGGAAGGGACACATTTTTAGTTCAGACAATAGGGATTCCGGGAAGTACATTCGACAACAGACGCCATCCTAAAGGTCGTCAGTATTGCAAAGTCAATCAAGCGAGGTGTTGGGAAGAAATGATTTCCAGAGGCTATATTTATTAGAAACGCCTTCAACTCTCTCAGGCGAAAGGACTTCATTGAGGTCCTGGTAAACAAAAAGATTCCGGAATATTTCTTGAGGATGATCGAAGATTACTTTCACGAGAGAAGTATAGTGTTGTAACGGCACAAGCTGCCGCAAATTCAACATCGCGTATGTTTATCGATAAAATCGCAGGTATCCAGCGGCCGTTGGAAGGGCGGTACCTGACCCCGCGCCTGCCATCCCTGTTATATTGAGACGAGGGCCGTTTATGACTTGCCACGACGCCGCCGTTTGAAGGGGGACCTTTGTCGGCATCCGCGCCCCCGCCGAGCACTCACGACGAGTGACTCTTCCCCTCACGTGACCGCGCGTCAGGAGAGTCAACGGCAATCACACCCACTTGAGACACAGATTAACAACCCAACGAACTTTGGCGCGCACGTGCGGCCGTCCGCGCCCTAGATCAACGACTTTTTTCGCCGACCGCGGAGGAACTTCACCGCGGCGCAAAACAACGGAAAATTTTCGGCCGTTATCAGGGATCGCGAGTCAATGGTCGAAGCTCCGCCCCACCACGTTCCGCAAAATTCAATTTCTGTCAATCAGGGGGAGTCTCACTGGAGAAACGGGGGGAGGGTACAAGAGGTTTCATGATGACGGGAGAGAAGCTCCCAAAATCATTCACTAAATATTTTCCGCGGAGGGAGGTTGAATCTCCCAAAACATTCACTTTGGAAATCTCGCGGAGAGAGGTCGAGCTCCCAAAGCATTCACTTAAGATTTTTCGCGGAGGAAGTTTCAGCTCCGATTCAACGTAAGATTTGCCGCGAAGGGAGATTGAGCTCCAACAATTAACTTACGAGATTTCGCGAAAAAGACTGTTTCCGACAATGGGAATTATTCTCACTGGCTGTGAGCTACACTAGCACGTCATCGCCAGTCACCGGTGCGCGGTAGCACTGTGACTCGAGCCAGAGGCAGGCTCAGTCCGCCTACGGTAGTGGACCGTCCGCGATCGCGTGATTTAGAGTTGATTTCCAATTAGTCATCGCCGACGTGAGTCGTGGGTGCCTGATGGTCGGGGATTCCATCCCTGGGTCCGGCCTGCGGAGCAAGAGGGAAGAGTGCGGCGACGTCGGAGCGCAGTCGTGGTATTGGCTGCAGCGGTTCGGGGCGATCCGCCCTGCCATCGGTCAACAACCCCACCAGCTAGGCGTGTTCGACTGCCACTCCAACAACAACCAGGGTAATCATTAGCTCTGCTCCTGCTAAAATGCGGCAGAACAGTAACTGAGTGAAGCTAAAAAGAGAGATGTCATTAGCATCAGTATTCATTGCGGCCTACTAGTTTATTTAGTTTTGTATCAAGCCAATCATTAACTTTAAATTTAAAAGAAATGTGCCTAACTTGTAAAAAAAAGTCATGTAAAATCAATCATGCATGCTCATCATCTTAGATAGTAAATGTTTTATTTGTTAAATTTAAATGAGTGTATTATTGAAAATCTCATCCCCGCTCAAGAAGCTATCATACAGGTAAGAGGATTAGAATACAGTATATACAGACATTCTCATTCGAAGATGATGCGACTTGTGGTGTATCCCAAGGTTCTGGGCTGGGTCCATTATTATGAAATGTATGACGGTCTATTACACATTGACACTCTCTCGGAAACAGAAGTTATAGGATACGCAGACGATACCCTCGTAATTTACCCTAGTAGTAATATCGACTTACTGGAGATGAAAGTGGACGGAGTGTGAAAAGGTGGTTTCGCAGGATACACCTGCATATATGGCTGTGGAGAAACCTGAAGCAGTATTAGTTACGCATTGAAGAGCATTCCGTTCCTTCAAATATTCAACTGGGTACGTGAACATCAATTGGAGATGACAAATAATTTATCTGGAAGTTGAGATCAACCACAGGCTCTGCTTTGGTCCACGCGTTAACAAGTCTGTGGACAATGCAGCTACGGCAAGCTCCAATATCTTTAGATTAATGACAAATGTTGGAGGCCCAAAAAAGGCGAAGCGTAGAATGCAATCCATTCTTCTTGTCTTGTTTATTCCCAAATGCCGTATGCGGGTGCAGTGTGGGCTGACAAACTCGGTAAAGCTTGCGGGTGATTGAAATATGCGCAAGAAAACAATGTTGACGCTGAAATTACTATCAGCTTACCGCACGATCTAACAGCGCAGCGGTTCTGGCTAGGATACCCCCTATAGATCTGTTGGCGAGAGAAAGGAAAGCGGTCTATGACCAACTGAAGATTTCTGATCCCACTCGCGATGAACTCAGCGCAGGAAGAAAGACATCACGAAGAGGGTTCGGACGTCACTCCTGGCAGAATGGCAAGAGGTGGGTAGCGATACCAAAGGTGAACTCACGAGGTGATATCGCGTAACGAACCCTGGTTCAACTGAAGCCATGGGGAGGTACATAACTACCTTTCCCAATTGCTCTCCGGACAGGACTACTTTAAATCTTATCTGTTTAGATTTAAAACAGCAGCCAACCCCAAATGTCAATTTCTTAGGTACGAAGATATTATATACATATATACACAATATTTAAATGCATGGCACGGGCTATTCAGAGAAGAAAACTTAATGAAGCCTTTGGCGTAGATATATCCTCACTAAATATAGTGCACCTTACGCTAAAATCAGAGAAATAATGGAGCACAACACAAGTTCCTGATCATCTTGAAAAGAAGAAAACCACCATTCTTAATTTGAAGTAATAGCTCAGCTACCTGGCCGTCTCTCCATGAAGTAATGCCTCCTACGGTTGCAGAGAGAGAGATCCATGGACATAAGAAGATTGGTTTTTAGAGGGTGGGAATCTCTCACGCCAGGAACAATCCATTTAAATCCCTGCCGGTAACAAGACATTTCCCCTCCCAAAATAAAATAAAATACAATAACAATAATAAAAATAATAAATATAATAACAATATTACTAGTTGACCGGGCAATGTTTCGCTATTGCAGAGTACTACACATCACACACCGCTAGTCACGTGATTGTTAATCAAGTTTAACGTCACGCTGAGCAAAAATTCTAAGTCTTTTCGCATATTGACGGAATAAGTTACTAAATGTTCCCGAAATGTATTCGAATATTTGGTACTTTATGTAATTCAACGATTTCTTTCAAATTATTTCGCGAACGCGACTATCTCCAGCCAACGTACAAAAACAATCCTCTCCATCTACGGAGCTAACCTATATGAATCCCCTTCGGAAATACGGAGTCTGAGTTAAAATCCAAAATTTACTTTAATAAAAATCGCAATTATGACTTAATATTGTAACGGTACAAGCTCATGCACTGGAAAATTTCCATGAGAAAAAAGGGGAACAAAAAAACAACAACAACAAAAAAAAAACAGCCGCCCGCGACGCTGCTGCGAAAGGGGGGTCCGTAGGCACTCGCGCCCGTTCGCCTATTGAGGCGAGGGGTTGTATGAAATTTTGCGAATTGGCTTGTACTTGGTTTATGCTTTTGGGTTCGGAATAATAAATCTGCTTTGTTGATAAGAACTGTTGTCTTCTTAATGATTTCTGAATATACAACAAATCCCATCCTCTAAATAGCAATACTCCAGCGCCGGTAACAAAAGGAACGAGTGCAGCACTTCCGTATACCAGATACACGTTTCTGTTTCTGAGGGTGCAGAGTCAAGAAAGACATTCATTCAGAAGAGCATATGTCATAGGCATGGTAATTCATCATGTTACATTTCATTTAGGAGTTACCTTTTGTTTAATAATTTCTGCTCATTTTAATTAATTTTATAAACCTTTACTTGATTTATTTTGTACTTTATTAATTTTAAGTGAAGGTAAAAGTTTTTAAGAGGTAGAGTTTATATTAGAAATTTACTGCTTGGGCCCGGCACTCAATTTGCAAATGAAAAATAATTTATAATGGTTTTGTTTTTCTTTTTTCTTTTTAATCATAAATTTCATTTATTTATTTCCAAGAAGCATTATCACTCGATTTTCATCTTTATTTATTAAATTAATATTTAAGCCAATTTTGCTTCTATTATTTATATTTTGTCCGATTCCTGTCATTTTCCTCTTAAAAGGTCGTCCTCCAGCCCTCTATTTTAGTCAAGCTACCAGAGGCCAATATGTGTGTGTACTGTGTGAGCATATAGGAGCAGTAAAGCCCACGCTGTTGACTGATCATTGTGCATGGCACGTGTGACAGGTGGATATGAGGTGCAAATCGCCTCTGCACGCACTCACACAACACAAGACTGGCAATGTGCACATAGACCTCTAAGTGCGCACTGCCCCTAAGTTCAAATTGAACCCAGCTGGTTCCAAATAATAAAGGTACAGTAAAAATGCAATTCATCACAACTCCATAAAATTGGGAACACTCAGTTCATGCAATGGAAGACAAAATGATGGCTGCAGTATTACCAAAGCACAAACAATGTGCATTGTTGTAACTCATTTATATTCGCATATTCAAAAGCATCTTTTAAAAAATTAACAATATAAAGCTGGTAACATTATAATTGAAAGAGGTTTGTGGCAGCATGGTGTTTAGGATACACGTTTGCTAACCTGAAGGTCCCGGATTCACACCCCAGGGGGGATTTTACTAATCTATGACTTAGGCAGGGCGATCCTGAGGTCCGCTCAGCCTCTTTTAGATTCCAAGATTGTGATAATAGATAATAGATTCCAAGATTGTGTTAAAATATAAAAGCCATGAAAACTCTGTACAACAAGAAAATATTACTCCTGAAAACTTACCCAAAGAACCTGTGGTAAAAGCTTGCACCAAAAGTGGACTGGCAATTGCTTCCAGTCGATTCTTCAAACCTTCTAGTTGCAATTTCCGGTCTTCATAATCAGGAACACTCGCTAATACTTGCAACGATTGCTGCATGCTCACTAATTTGGCAGAAATGCTCTCAATATTTCCAGATTCAAAAACCTTTAAAAAAATGTATTTTTTTTTCAAGGTTTCAAACCAATAATAACATAAAAAAGTATACTTCATGCAACCATTAAATTTAAGTGATTCTTAGAACATAACACAATGAAAAGATAAAGTTTGACATTATGTTTTTATACATAATAAAATATGACATAAGATTTCCTTGTGCATTTTTACACTATTATATCCAATTGTCACAGGTACACCCCATGAACAGTCTAAACTGATTTAGACAAACAAGAATATGCTACGTATGTCAGAGGAACATGAATTACAAACAGACTAGAAATTCTATAAATTAGAACATGACAATCGATTTTTGAAAATGTCTTATTCATAAAACCTATTATACAACAGAAAATTAAAACAATACAATGCAAAACAATGTCAAAATAATAAAAAATTAAAATTAAAAATACTGAGAAATATTTTGGACAAAATATCTAATATTTAAAAAAATGTTTGTTTTTTTTTGGTGCAAGCTCAATGTGCTGCCGTACCGTTCATCCAATAGCGATACAACTTCATCAACTTATTACTTGCACTTCTGGAAAGAATATAGGCATAATACGATGGGAATGTTCATATGCCTGCACTCATAGATGCGTGTTGATGTTTTTATGTAGATTCAAGGGCCCTGATCAGGGTGCTTTACACCATGGCGCTCTCTACACAGCCCACTGCACACTGAAGTACAATTATTAAGATGTCTTCACTGTGTACTCTACTCCTGCGATTGTGAAATTGCTCCCAGGAGAGACAGATACAGAGACAGAGGAAAACAGAGACACAGAGAAAAAAATAAACAGAAGCATAGAGTGAGAGAAAGAAAGATAGACTGAAAGGCACAGAGAGAATGATGGAACCACACTTGCGAGAAATTTTTTTGTCTATTGAAACTTTTGCATGACAATCACGTGACCAGTAGCATGTGAAATGTAATACATTGCAATAGTGAAGCTTTGCCACTAGTAATTTCTATAACCTTCAGGCAAAGATATTTACTTCTATATTGGTTTTATATAAACTGCCACACTAAAGAGAAATCCTTATAATATATTAACATATAGTTTTAGAACTTTATGGCTGTACAGGCAAACTTTCTTGTTACACCAGAGAGCTGAAATTTCATTTGGATAAAAAAAAGAGAGAGAGAGAAACCCCTTGGGAGAACAGTTTTTAAGAAAAAGAGGTTTTTTGAGACACAAATGAATGCTTCTTGTGCACCCTGAAGTGTTAGTTCATTGTAAACAAAGACAATTTTTAAGATACATCATTTACATTTTCTGGAATAGACGCTACACTACAGAACATTACCCTAAATTTTATGGAATATACATAATTTTTACATAGATATGTAATTAAATACAGACTAGAATCAATAATTTTTAGAAATGTGTGTTCAATCCTAAAATGACGTTGTTATGTAGTAAAAGAATCTTACCTCTTCCAGATCAGAAGCCAATACTGTCCAATTATCAGCTTCATGTAAAGCCTCCCTAGCGGCCTGCAGGTCACATTTTATTCGATCAATCCGTTCCAAGGAAGCTATAGATTGACCAGTGTCCTGCTCCACCTACAATAGAAAAAAAAGTCTTTGACAATTTACTAGTATGCTGAAAAACCTAACAAATGAAGTTTAGAAGTTTATTAATTTCAGATATAAAAGCACAATTCAAAGTTATGTCTTAAAGTAATTCAACTCTAATATTATAATTTGAGGAGGATAATCATTTAACATTATCATCGATGCCAATTGCATTATGAAATTCACAGATTCTTATTCTGAGATACCTGTCATATTTTAAGATATACAAAATATTACTCTGTAGCATTGTCTATAATACTAATTACACAATGTAATTCAATATTCTTAGAATGATGTTAATTCCATATCCCATGTAAAAATATTAACAATTGCAGAACAATTAAGGGAGGGGCACCAGTGTAGTTTTTTCCAATTTTATTGTTAAGGCAACAGATTACTCTTTCATTTTATAGGTCTTTTTTTTAAAAATCTTTCTGAACCCTTAGCAATATTTTTGTCTTTGAATGCCAATTGAATAGTTATAAAAAAATTAGAAACTGTGGTCATGTGTAATCACTTTGTGGAAACTTTCAGCCAAGCTAAAATCCCAATTTGGTAAGCACATGCATTTATTCACTTAAGTTAATGTGAAATTGGATGACTGACAATCTATCAGTAAAACTTTCTTTGAATTGTGAAAGCGTCACTCACAAACTTCCCTGAAAGTATTTATGAGTTCTGTAACCTAATTTGCAGGTGTTATTATACAACACTGAACACTTCTAGCAATAGAAGACATTCTCACTGAATATTAGTCATAAACAATCCAAATGCAAGTAATCCCTTAAACAATAAAATACAAGTAATCCCTTAAAGTCAGTACAGACAGTGTTGCCAACTGCTACAATGAGCAAGATGTCATTATTATACATTCATTTAAAGAAGTCATCACAGAATACGTAATGAAAGATTCTATGCTCATTTCAATTGATCTGATCAAATCATAGGTGCAACACAAATATGAAATGAAAAAATTGTTCAAATTTTAACAAGATATTATAATTTATTGCGAAATTTTGCAGCTCTCCTTAAAATGGTACCCGGGGTGGGCAGAACCTGCCTCTACCAAAACGTTACGCCACTGATAGGCGACTGTAGGCCACAAGACTCCAGCAATAAAGCAAAAAATAAGGAAATGCAATTCCAGAAAAAGACCAGTACTTCTCTGCAAAATGGATGTGATATAAAAATAAAATTCATTAAAATTCCAATGAAATAAAAAAACCGAATACCAGTTTCCAACAGACAACGCTCTATGTATTTGACAGTTTTGGTAAAATTTCTGAAAATTGTTAGAAATATTCTGATTTGTAATCTTTTTCAGTAATTATCCATATTCCCAATCCCTTAAATTCTCAAATCAACCCTGAAACTTTAACAATTCTCCTTAGAGAAGTCATTATCAAAAATCAGTGCAGAAAAATAAAAAGTAAATAAATGATGTTTAATCAACCCTTAAAAATAAGACAATCTCAATAAAGAATTTGACCTGAAGTCTAGTATACGGTACAACTTGAAGTCGTTTAAACTGGTACTTCGCACCGCTCCGGCAAGGGGGAAATTCACAGTGGCGGGGCTGAGGGGTTCATAATTGGTCACAAACATAACGTCAAAAGTTAGGGGAAGCAATTTCAAATAAATATCTTTCCGGAGCTCCATTAATAAATAGTGCTGTGATCATGGCGGTGTGGTGTGATAAAGGTTGTAATGTTCTTTCTTCACAATGTGTTTGCAACTGCATAGTTTGAATTCTGGAGGCATTCTTACAAAGTGCTTTCTTATAAAAGTGAATCGGTGATTATGCGGTGGTTAGACTTAAGGATGTTCATAGTGAACGCAAGGGCCGAAGGCCCAAGCCTTGCTGTGACTTGGATCTGAGTGAGCGAAGCAAGAAAACTTGCCTTTGAAAGTAATTTGGCATTACAATGCAGCAGGGACAAAGGGAATGAAGGGCGAGCCTTGAAAATCACCTATTCTTAAGTTTGTTATTTCTATCAGAGCATGTAGCATAATGGGAAAGATAAGGAGACTACCCTCCTCCTCCGACTTGGTGCCGCTGCCATGCTTCTCTAAGCATGTACTGTGTACCCTACTTTAACCAGAATTTGAATTAGTTTTTAAAAGAGTCAAAGTGAAAATCATAAGAAAGCAGTACTGAAGAATTTCCGAACAAGATTTTTTTTATTCTATGTGTTTAATGAAGACAGCAAAACGTTTCAAAATAAAATACTCAGAGTCAATAAAAGTTGAACACTGACTAGGACACCTTCGGTAGCAAAATATCGCCTCTAGGGAATAATTTGCAGACAACCACTTTTGGCTCATCAAGTTCATAGAGGGAGATCTACACATTCAGTATTTAGTGAGTAGCGGGCGACCACTCACCGAATTCCCAATACAGTGGAAGAGGTGCTTACTATTTTGCAAGCAATGAACGTTTGGTGCTTGCCCTACTCACCACGAGTCGTTCTTTAGGATACATCAAAGAAACAAACATTCACCATGCACGTAAGCTGCTCGGGATTGGCAGGGGAGTAGCTCACTACCACAAATGCTGAATGTTTGGAGCCACCCTAAGTTGCGACATCCCCCAAAACAGAATAATCCCATAACAGTTCACAAATGTGGCCCATGAGCACGCAGTATTGACACCTTAATATCTGCCTCTCTCACAAAGCATTACCTTCACAATTTCCTGCCTCACAGACTGCATCATGTTATGCAATGAAAGAGCCTCTTGCAAAAGAAGTTCAGTGTCTCGCATAACTCTAGGTAAACTTTGAAGAACCTATAAAACATAAAAAACCATTGTAGATATAAAATGTGTATCACTCATTCTGCTTGATTCAAAAAAGTAATTGTGATGACAATAATGAAAGAATAATTTAATAATGCATCTACAAAATGGATTTTAAATTATAAAATCAAAAAGTCAGAAAACATTTTCAGTTTTGGGGGAAATTGCAAAAAGCATGTTGAAGTTCAAAAATTATATTGGGTACCTGGTGACTAGTGTCTTCAACAGCACTGTTTATTTGTTGAACATAAAGTTGCAGCTTCATAACCAACGATGAAACAAATGCCTAAATTAAAAGAAGAAATGAACAAATAAAAACTGAAATAATTTACTCTTCTTCAAAATGTTTATTATTTCATCTTCCTACTTACATCTCTGTTCTCTTGAGCTTCTGCTGATTTAAAAGTTTTGTTAATCCAGTCTTTAACATCAAAATTTTCATCAGAAAATGCAGAAACATCCTGTAAGTCAAACAGAAAAGAAGTGGAAATTATAGATGAAAATATAGATGAAAACGTGAGAAACTTTAATTTACGTAACGCAAATTGCTAATACTTTTAGAGTCCATATTTTTATTGTAAATAATAAAACCTAAAGTTCATGATACAGAAATTTGAGAATTAAGATAAGCATTTCAGTAATATCTTACCATTACTATTAGATACAATTGTTTCTTTACAATCAAAAAGAATGTCTGTTCTTGCAAACTGAATTTCTAATGCTTCAAGTCGCTTTATACTATGATTGCTGAAAACAATAACACACATTAATAATTGAAAACAAAATTTGTAGAATTGAAGCATTATTAATTCTTAGCAATTAAAAGAATTACAAATATTTTAGCTGCAAGAAAAAACAAGTAGATTTGTGAGAAAATTACCAGTTAGAATTTTTTTAAATATTGGAATGTGGAAAATATTTCCTGTTCAAATGATTCCACTAAGGGTAACAAATAAGCAAATTATTCTTCATTCAACAAACTTCATATAAAAAGGAATAAATAGTACGGTTTTTCTCAAAATAATTTTACCCCTGTCAAATTATCTCTTAAGAATACAACCCAATGAAAGATACCCAACTCGAATACATCAAAGGAAGCATTCACCATACACATCAGCTGCTCGGGATAGGCAGAGCTGTAGCTCGCTCCTACAAATGCCAAATGTTTGGAGCCCCCAAGTTACGACATTTCCCAAAAAATAATAATCCCATTACAGTTCACAAATGTCGAATTCACTGAGAAATATCTGAAATATATCTTTTTTTCATGTTCTGTCAATTTCTATCGGAAGTTAGAGACAACACTTCATCAGTTTTGACATACATTCACGTTAATTATTATTTCAAGGCAATATTTGTTAATTACTATAAAACGAAAAGTTGTGTTAATATTACGAACAATAACGTCATCTAAGAAAAATATTATGGGTAATTAATATGGTACTGCATCATTTCACCTGCAAGAGGTTACCAGCGACTCGATACTGGCGGCTAAAGTTCGTCATTTGTTTCCTTGCCACCTTTTTTTATTTTTTTTTAAATATAATTTCTGGCACTCGATATTAAAACAAACAAATTATACGACAGAAAATTACTAAAGTCAGAAAACTGTTCACGTTCTATTGCTATGTCTAATGACCTGTCGGTGCCCGTCAGCGCCGTTGTGTTACGGGGTGGTTACGGGTTTGACGGCAGATGGAAGTGCCGCTGTTGCCGATGACATGATTGCTGTTGATGTTTTCATATAAAACATTGTAAATTGATAACAGATTGATTTGTATTAACAACGTTAATAATCAAGCAAACGATTTTTTTTTGTAAATTAGAATTCTGATTTTCTTAAAAGAAACGAAATATTAAGTTCTGTCAAAAATAATAATGGATTCAAAAATTAAGAAAATTGGTAGTGTGCAATTATACTTAAGAATTTAGAAAAAATTGCATGCAGCCTCATCAGATTGTTAGGAGCTAAGGAATAAAAAATATATTGTTACAATAAGACGTTTTTAACAGGTGCGCTAGCTACGATATTAATATCATGTCCATCATAATTTCAGTGAACTGGATAAGTAATGAAAATGTGAAATTAAATTTTGTGTCATTCCTTTTTGAGGAAAGTAAATTAATTAAGCGAAGTTTGTAAATCAAAAATTGTTGACCTGCCGCTAGAAGCTATTAAAAAAATATATAGTATACGCATCGCTCCCTATTCTCTGCCTATTCTCTGACAGGATAGCTCTCCCAACACTCCACAACCATTCCCGCCCGCTTGGTCAAGGTTTGGTTTGGTCCAGTGCAGGCGGCCTTCGCCACCACCGGTTGTTTTACGAATAGAGGTATTTCTGGCAATCTGTGCTGTGAGCTAAGAACTATGTGTTGGTGTACGAATTGACGTGGAGTCCTATGGTACACACTCCCTTAGTTTAGTTGTTAAAATTAATTTAAAAAAGATGTGGTTTATTTATGTTTTAAGTTGGCTTGCTCTTCTTATTCAAGTATGCTTTATCACGGTTTCCTTGGGTAAGTTAATCCTTTTACTAGTGGCATTTGTTTCATTCTTGTCATTTGTAAGAACTGTCATTCATAAATGTGAAATAAAACAGAATTGCTGACCAGTTATATATACTGAATATTTGCTTAATGTAAAGATACACAATTAGTTTAGTGAATGATGTCAGAGCATTAAACCTTTCTTTGAAGTTGTAACTATTTCTCATGTTTAAATTTTTCAGCTGCTGGCTTGTATTATTTGGCAGAGCTTGTAGAGGAGTATACCGTTATTACAAAAAAAGTAATCTGGTGGATGATTGTGGTAAGTACATTCCAATTTATTCTTGTCGTAAATCCAGTAAATTTGCTATTTGTTAAAGTGCATAATACTTTGTTTTAATTATTTGGACATCTTTATTACAACTTTTTCTATTTTGATGTGTTTAGTTGAAATATTTTAATTTAATATTTCTGTTATTGTATGTATATCTGTTGCAAAGCTTTTCTGTGAATTTGACTAGGAAGTTATTCTGCAATGGGTTTTTCTTTTTTCAGATAACACTATTAATTTATATAGGATTTATTATTTTTGAAGACTTTCCTTATTCTATCACTATTTGTGGCATCATAAGCCAAGTTGCACATTTATTAATTTTAAATACATTTCCCTACGTACTTATTACATCACCGGTATTCTTAGTTTCGGTGATTATGTTGGTTGTCAATCACTATTTGGCATTCCAGTACTTTGCAGCCGTGTACTATTCATTTTCAGAGGTATGTTTAATATTTATTTATTAATATTCATGTCTGTTTTCTTATACTTCTACTTAAAGACATTTGAATATTTTTGCAGGTTATGGCATATTTCACTTTGTGTTTGTGGTTAGTGCCATTTGCTCTCTTTGTTTCACTCTCTGCAAACGAGAATACACTACCCACAGTTGCAGAGACAAGACCTCTTTTAGGTAGGTTTCATAAGTGAAATGTCTATTAGTACCTTCAATTATTTTACGTAACTTTTTTATAAGAAGTTGTATATGAAGGACAAAATTTCTTTGGCAAGTTCAGATATAATTGGAATATTCACTTTTCCAGTAAAACTGTGGTTTTCTTTACTTTAGCGCAGCTTGATCATTGACAATTCTTATTAAAATTATTTGAATTGAAAAAGGCATTTCGTTTGTTTACTTGTGAACTATACTGAGTTCACAAGTTAAAGTGAAAATATACTTAGTTTTGTAGACTGTCTTATGTTCCAAAACTAAATTTTGTATTTCCTCGATGTTTCAATTTCAGATGATAATGATGTGGTTACAAATTACTTTTCAAGAAAGAGTAAGAAATATGGCCTATTATCATTTTTCAATTATGCGAAAGAGTCAATTTTACCACAGAGAAGCAAGAAGACTTTTTGAAAACTCAAAGCGACATTGGTGACTAATGCCAGGAGTGAAAGTGAAATGTCACGTATACACTTTTTACCTACGTGCTCAGTGTTGTGTTATTTATAAATATTTTTTTCCCTGTGGTCTGTGATTTTATGATTGTGAGTGTTCTGGTACTTTTGAGTCCTATTTAACAGATATTGACTGAGATGTTTGTTTTACCAAAGATTTAGGATTGAACCTGAGTTGCCAACATTAAATTTTATATATATATATATATATAACTTTTATATATATAGAAATTTAATAAATTTTATGTACACTAACTGTATTGAGTGACTGAGTAAGAAATTGTATAGTCTCGTGAAAGAAATTGCAATAATGGAGTGAAATATACACTATTCTATTTCCCAGGAGAGAATAAAGATTTTGTTAATACTCTGGTATAGAATCTTTTATTCATAGTATTAAGAATGAGTCTTGTTAGTAGAATATTGTGGAGTAAGCCTTCAAGAACTGAGCCAGAGGTCCCTTAAGTCTGGAATCTGAGGGAAAAGAATGACGAGGGATTTTGAAGGGAAAATATCGCTGCAATGAAAGATTTTTATTTTATCAAACTACAGTTGAACAAAGTTGTAAGAGAACCCCACCTATAAGACAGTAAGTGCTGACCCATGTCCAAGTGTATCTTTTAAGGCCATTTTCTTCTTGCATGTAAGAGTTTCCTGTTGGTTATAGTGGGCAGAATAGTCTTTATGGGATTTTATATTCTCACAAGTCAGTCAGAAGTCAAAATAATTGCCTAAGCAGCAAATCAGATGCTGCATTGGTTTTACTGTCGAGAACCCTTGACAAAGGGCACCAAAAGAGATTCACAACTACGGAAATAACTGAGGTATAATGCACTTGAGAGACAGTAATAGCAGTTGAATCTCTTTACCCATAGAACACAGACAAGCCTGTTTATTCCTAAATCCAAATAATGCCGTACAGAATAACAAGAAATGACACTAGTTCAAATGGCACTCTTCTACTACAGTTCTTCCCCATGGAAGAACAGAAAATATTTCTCCATGTCCTCCCAAAGCTGTACTAAGGTGAGATTTCTCACTGTTTATGTTGGTCAATCACATTTTGGCACTAATTTCAAATTTTTAAACTGATATAATGTTTTATTCACTATTGCCCACATTGTTTAAAAATCTGGGGGGGGGGGGATGTTATCAGCAGACTGGATTTTAGGACATGTGCCTCTTTAGTTCTTTCAAGATGAAGTGAAAAATAATTGCAAATGTTCAGACTGTAAAAAAATAGATTTACTAATAGTGCTTATGTTCTAAAAAAGTGAATGATAAATATTTTAATTTATTTTTGCCTAAAATTTATTTTGAAGGATTATATTTTAATTACTTTTACTTTACCATATGTCTCATGAGATTTTTAATTAGGTTCACTTGAGTCATTGTGGGGTCTCTTCGAATTGTGGGCTTGTCAATGGCGTTTTCAACTGTGTCAGTCATTTTTTACAGTTTGTTGTCTTTGCCCTCTGGCTTAGGTGATAGGAGGGGGAAGTTGGAGGATGTTTAAGGGAGGCTTTCTCTGGGTTTATTGGGTGTGTGGGTTTCTGATGATGTGGTGAGGAAGGATTAGGTTTCTGAATAGGGGGGGGGGGTGATATTTTTTTTGGATTTGGGCTGTTGCGGGATTGTGAAGGTATTATATGTGAGGATGTGGGGTATTTTGTTTCGGGTTTGTGTGGAGTTGTAGGTGGTATACATAGGTGTGTGGATGTTGTGGTTTTCGACACAGGTTAATTGTGAGCAATTGGTGTGGGATGTAGCAAACCTGGTGGGATGGGACTGATATAGGAGTTGTAGGTTTGGATTTTTCTCTTAGTGGCTATGGAGGGATTGGAGAGAATGGGGTATAAGGTATTGGTGATCCTGGTTGCTTTCATGGTAATTTTGTGGATGTGGTAGGACTAAAGAAGCCTGCAATCATGCTGAGGTAGGATATTTCTGGAGCCCAGGGGATAGGTTGTTGACAATGGTTAGGGGAGGGGGGTTCAATGGGTATGTTTTATAGGAAAACAGGATGGCCTGGAATTTGGATTGATTTATAGTAATGGAGTTTTGGGAAGTCCAGAGGTGGAAGTTGTTTAGGGATTCTTGGAAGTAGGATAAGGATCTGTTTAGGGAACAGAAGGATGCTTGGAGGGTAAGGTCATCGTCATAAAGGAAGGTTTGTACTCCTGGTTTGTGTGGGACATCATTTATATACATGGAAAATAGGATGGGGGATAGCACAGCGCCCTATCGGATGCCCGCTGGGATTGGGTAGTTGGGAGAGGTTTTTGATAGGTGTCCGATGTTGCAGGAGCGATGGTTTAAGAATCTTTGAAGTAGGGAGTGGATATGATCGGGGATATAGGGTCAGATTTTCATGAAGGATTGGGTGGAAACGATGTCGAAGGCTTGGGTAAGGTCGGTGATAATGGCACGGATTTCTTTTCTATCTTGGAGCGAGGTGGCTATGGCTGGGTATAGGTTGAGGGTTTGGGGGACCGCGGAGCGACACCCACAGAAGCCAAATTGTATGGTGGTTATGATGGGATCGGGGGTAGTTGTTAGGCGGAGGAGGAGAATATTTCCGAATGTTTTACTTAGGATAGATAGTAGGCTGATGGGAGCGACGATCTCTGCCAGGTGTGAGGATCATGGTAATGCGAGTGAGCTTCCAGACGGTGGGAAGCAGAACAGCAGGAATTGAGGATGAGAGAGGTCTGGTGTATTGCGTTTTTTGTTAGGCGGGTGAGTTGGGATGGGAAGTCTCCATCGGGTCCGGGAGATTTACTGCAGTCTATCGTCTATAGTATTTGTTTTACGGTTTCGGCCAAGGATTGGGCGAAGGTGATTGTGATGGTTTGGGGGTCAAAGGTTAGGGTGTTATTGTTGGTTAGGGTAGGGGATATAGGAGTGGAGTGGTTCCTGACGGCTTTTATGACTTTGTGAATGTTATTTGTGCTGCATTTGTCAGATAGTAGGTCATCGAACTTATGAGTCTCATGGTGTTTCAGTAGGTCGTGTATTAGTTTTTGTGTCATCTTTGGTTATCGTTTGTCCTAGTCTCGTCTGTATTTGTAGTACTGTCGTTGAACTCGTTTATGTCGTATGATCGTGAGGATTTCATCCGAGAGGGTGGGGTGAACATTTCTGGAGTAGGATGTGGCTTTTCGGTATGTGGTGGGTTAGGAGATCTATAGTGTTATCTATGGATTGGGTGGTCGGGATATCTTAGGGGACGGAATTTCCTTGGATAGTCAGTTTAAATATTTTCCATTTCGTTTTTGGTATTGAAGGGGGTTTGGAGAGTATGTAGTTGAGGAGCTGGTGAAAACTATCGGGAGGTGGTCACATAAGTCGGACGGGTCGTATTTTGAGTGGGGAATGGTTATTAGTATTTGGGAGGAGTGGAGAATAATATCAAGAATATCGTGGAGAATATGTAGAACAAGGTGGGTAGGTTCAGTAGGGACTTGGATTTGGGTTGTTGTGCCTATAAAATGTTCTAGCCGTAATCCGGTCCCGTTACTTTCTCATGTAGCCCCCATGACGTCGATTTGCTGTTGAGGTCGCCTGCGATGATGAAGGGGTAGGGGAGGTTTTTAAAGGTATCTAGGTCGGTGTGGTGTTTTGTAACAGGATATCAGAAGGATTTGGGATGTGGAGGTCCCAATGTCGAATGCAGTGCATTCTAGGTCGGTTGTTGGAGGTAGTTGGTAAGGGTGTGTGGGATGGATCGTCGAGCGAGGATATCCGTTCTGCCTCCAGCGGATGAGGAGTTGTCGGTCCTGCTGGTGATGTAGTTGGGGATGGAAAAGGATATCGGGTGTCAGCCACGACTCTTGTAAGAATAGTATCCCGATGGAGTAGTCTTCAAGGAATGGGGTGAGGGTTTTCTTTTTCTGATTTATGCCGCCTCGCGTGTTCAACGAGCTCAGAGTTAAGATTCTAGGAGGGGGAGCCATTAATTGAGGATTCCGACTAATTTAATTCCTGCAGTTATTAGCTTTGTGGTGATGTCCTCTGGGCCTTTGAGGATTTCGAGAAGGGGTTTTAGGCTAAGGATTATCTTTTTGACGGTGGGATTTTGGAGGAGGGGGAGGTCTTTGATGTCTTGGGTTGTTGATTGGGTAGATTGTTGTTGGGTCGATGGCAGAGGCGTAGGATTGATTTTGGGATCTTAAGTGAGAAAAGTTTAGGAGTGAGTTGGTTGGGCGTGGGGGGGGGAGGGTTGAGGATTTCGCCATCTGTACTTGTTTTCTGGTTTTTACTGTGAAGGGGCATTGGGGCTCGTAGGCTGGGTGGTTCAGGGAGAAGTTGATGCATTTTGGGGTGAGTGGTTTGTCAGAAGTATGGAGTGACAGTCTTTAGCTGCGTGGGAATCAGTGCAGAGGGCGCAAGTCGCTTGTCTCCTGCAATAGGCCTTCGTGCAACAGTCTTTGACAATTTCTGCACTGGGGTATTGTGTCATCGTGTTGTCTTCAATGGTTACTCTAAAGTAGTTAATGAATCTTAGTGTTTTCTTAATGTTTGTCGTTTTTGTGTTTGTCTCTATTGTAAATAGGCCTATTGGTGTCAATGTCCCGTTGGCGTCGCGTCGTTGCATCTCAAGTTGTGTGTTGTATTTTGAGGCTAGTCAAGTTGTTTTTGATAGCAGTCAGGTCGTATTTGGCCGGGGGTCCTTTTAATACAAATTTCTCTTCGCTCGTCGGTGGCTGGGTTGAAATGGCAGTGAAAAATAGTCATTTTCTACTGATCTACGAGGGTGGTCCCAGAAGTAACCGACCCAACAAAAGAATCAAAAATTTTGGAAAAGAAATGTTTATTTTTCAACATAATCTCCTTTGAGCTCTATACACTTTTCCCAGCGATGTTGAATAAGTTCGATAACCTTTTTAAAATAAGAACTGTCTTGCTCCTCAAAATAGCCATTAACTACCGACATCATTGTTGGAAAATCTTTGACCACTGAGCCATTGTTTCAAGTTTGGGAACAGAAAATAATCAGAGGGGGCTAAATCTTACGAATAGGGTGCATGAGGTAGCAATTTAAATTTTAATTCATTAATTTTGGCCATTACAATAACGGATTTGTGAGCTGGTGCATTGTCCTGATGGAACAACACTTCCTTCTTAGCCAAATGTGGCCGTTTTTGCTTGATTTCTTCGCACAAACAGTGCAATAAGTTCGCATAATTCTCGCCGTTGATAGTTTTTCCTTTTTCAAGTTAGTCAATGAAAATTATCCCCCGCGCATCCGAAGAAACCGACGCCATGACCTTGCCTGCAGATGGAACGGTCTTCGCCTTCTTTGGTGCGCGTTCTTCCTTTTCAGATCATTGTTTTGATTGTTGTTTTCTCTTTGGGGTGAAGTGGTGGACCCATTCAT